CACTATTCTGCATTTCCGGACTGCGATTATACTTGGTCGTAGTTTGGTGTTATGTAATAGCGCGTCAAGTTTTTGGCGCCTGATGACTCGATATTTACACATGTTTCTGTCCACCATTCCTGTACCGTTTGAGTCTCATCTCTCGTGTTTTACGTCGATTTCACGCTAGGTTGTTCTTGTTTGTGAGATTTCAGGTCCTAGTACGTGAAGGAAGGTTTGGGCACGAGTTCGGGGTCAATTGGACGAAGTTGGGACGTTTGACGAAAAGCTGGAAATTCCACACGGGCAGACCTAAATGCCACACGGCCTTGAGACTTGGCTGTGTGGAATCCCATTATGCGGCCAAGATTCTCGTTCTGATTGAGGTAGTATGGATGATTGGGATCAAGATTCGCCGGGATTGGAAGAGGATTCGCCATCGCGGCGCAAAGAAGAGAGAAACGAAATCAAGAAGGAAGAACTGAAACCCTAGTTTTGCTCTGATACCATGCTAGATTTAGTGTAGGAAAAATGAAATATTGCATAAAACGGTAGTTGTTCATTTACACTGTCCAGCTTATATAGTACCTACCAAATTACCACCTAGTACCTATACAAACTACTATTACAATAACTACCCACAAAACAACAAAATTACATATTTTGTTCTATACTCTATCAGGAGGTTGGTCGGAGTTTTGTTGGGTCTTCTTGCCAGGAACTGGAGGACGGTGAGGGTGCAGAGGAGGCAGAGTAGGCAACTGAGGAGGAAGTCCTCCATTTCTCTGGCGGTTGGTTTGGGGTACGTATGGCATCAGTTGCGCTACATAAATATAACAGAGAGGGAGACGATCTTCACTATCATGCCATGTGTTGAATACTTGAATTGCTATATGCTTATTTGTAGAATCTGGCCATTTACCAAACTGCCTGCCCCAAAATGAAAATGTTAGGTATCAATTTCACTTACATTGGCAATGGCAATATCGACAACTTAATTAGGTGCATAAATGACAATTTGATGAGGTTTAAATTTTTTGGAATTTGGAAGTTTAGAATTCTTAATGAATTGTTAGGCAATTAATTTATTAATGTAACTAACATTGAAACTTAATTTGCACTCGTCTATATCTTTTATTTTTTTCGAACGACAAATGTAGCTCGTATTTTTGTTTTTATATTTGTTAATTTAAAAAAAATTAATGATATGTTTGCATGACAGATCTACCCATTGAAACTCAATGACATATATCATAATTAGAAAAAAAATGGAACATTATTCCAAGAAAATCTGCTCTTAAGTCTCAACTCTTCAATCTTCATTTATTTTGTATACTATCAAAGGGTCATATGATATATTCTAAATACTGACCATCAATTTTTATAGGCGGTAAACAAAGAACCATCATGGATTACTACTATTTGTTATTATGTTTGTGTAATGTCTATTAAATATTGAGCTTCAAATTATAAACAATTAGTTATCAAATTCGCAAAAGTGTTTAATTTTATCTATAGTTAGTTGATGGAGTAATGAAATATTTTACGATTCTATCATAGAAGCAAAATCCATATGTATAAAAAGCCTTCTTCTCTGGTGGTACGTGGATTGTGGTTAGTAAATTTGTTTTCTCTGTCAAAGAATGCCTCGTTCGTGAAAGAAAACTAACATTACTACTATTGTTTCTTTTACCTCAAAGGTTGAGAATTACTTGATAGATCAAATTCTTGTTCCCTACTATTACGGTGTATTAATCTCACTATCAATGACACAAAATATGAAATATTATGTGTTGGGTTAACGACAATCATTTTATTAAATTTCCTATACTATTTTAAATTTCTTTGTAATTGTTAAAAAATTTCGGAACATACATAGGTTATATGTAAAGGATATAAGGACAACGAGTGGTGGTAACAATTTTTAATCCAATTAATCTCAATCCATTTTATCCAAATCTCATTAGATTGGTAAATTCATAGACTGGATTCATGTATTATTTATAAATTATAGTTTAGTGCCTATATGGTTATATTTTACAATTTGGCATCTAAAATTTATTTCTAAATAAAACAAAAAATATCGTTGGAAAATTAAGTTTTGGTACCTAAAATTTTCTATTATAACAATTTAGTACCTAAATTTATCAAAATTTTGATATGATCCAATGTTTAGATGTCACTTAGGTGCATATCCAATCCACTAATATTTTTTTTCTCCAATATTCACCAATCTGTTTAGGCTATAAATCCACAATTATGAATACATATCATTTGCCACCTCCAACAACGAGGCTTAGTGTAACTGCACCTTACTCTCTTGCATGCACCATCCTTATCATCTTCCTTTTCGAATAATTAATAAAGCTCAAACTACTGTTACTGTTCTTGCTTAATATACATGCTTATTTATGGAAAAAAGAATTGCAGGACTGGTTAGGTTACTGTTGTTGCATGCTTAATAGTCACGAGTTTGGCATCTTTCCCATTCCATTACCCAAAATTATGAGTACAATGATTATTATGACTCTGTTACTGAACCACGACTGTTACTGTTTGACAAAAATCATGTTGGCACCTTCAATGCTATTGCTAGCTCCTCAACTACTTTTCCGGTCTTCCCCTTTCCTCCCCTGCAGCAATACACATGTCTGTTGTATGTGTCACATGATCTAAGCCATACGCTTAAATCTTAATCAACACCTAGAGTTTTTTTTTTTTTTTCACCGGTTAATTTATTTCGGCCGAATGGAATAGCAGAATAGAGATCTAGACTCTAGAGGCGTTTTTACAGACCTCCCAGTATCACTTTCCTTGAGGTCGTTGTTGGTTGAGAAGGAAAATCAGTCGAGATGGAATGTGAGAGCTATTATGAATTTTGCCTCGAAAAAATTGAGTATTGAATTTCATACTTCCATTCATATAAAGGGTTGTTGACATGTCACTAGAGGGTCATGGACATGACGTCAGAAGTGCATGACCGCGAGACGAGAAGGTTTCAGCCTCGCTTCTCAAGACATCACAAGCTCATCAGATGATTCTCATAACATAAGATTTCATCACAATAGCGAGATTTGGAGCAAGACCAAGCGCGAAGCAAGCTACACTCCAACATGTACGATAGTTTCAAGATGATGAGGGGGAGCAGTTCTTCGTGGTAGTAGTTTGAAACTCTCACTAAACATTCATAAGTATATGAGTAACTTAATATACTTTTGTTTTCAAAAATCATCAATCAAACACATTCGTTGAAACTTTATTCAAATAGATACAAACCCGTATCTCAGTAATCACCGACAAAATAATCAATACACAATTGAATCAAATCGACGTAAGTTTTCCCCACTAAAAAACACTAAACCATTCATAGGCGGAGGGAGGCCCATTGGGCCTTGTCCCGGGACAGGGGTAAATTTCGGAGGAACAAAAATATGTCATATATATGTATATTGGTGATGCAAAACAATGCCTATAGGTAGTATTATTAGAGTATTTTTGTCACTACAGCACAACTCATTACTTATTCATAAATTGACATAAAATTAATTTATTATACTATAAACGAATTCTAATTGCAATAAAGACCTAATCGGATCTCTTTTCTCCTTATGCCTATTCGATTTTTTCCCAACAACCCTGAAATTGTCTAGCGACATCGACAATTCCACTAGTTTTGATTCTACGAATTACAACTGCAAATGTAAAAAGAACATTTTCAGCTTTGAGTTATATTAAGAACAAGTTTTCAAGTCGATTTGGCAACCAATTTGCTAATGCTAATTTAGTGAGATACATTGACAAAGACTTATTTAATAGTGTAGACGGCAAATGTTTTTGCGTTTCTTTTACAATATGAAATCTCTCCGTTGTTAAAAATAATAATTGTATAGTCGATTATTTTTAATCTATGAAACACATAATCCCACAATATCACCATCCCCCAACTACACTCTGTCACCATAACAAAATTCAGTTCGAGACAGATACGTAGCTACACTAGGGTGTGAATGCCTGACACACGTGTGTGTGGGTTCAGCTTCAGCAACACCTGCACAACAAAACACCCTACTTCCGTTTCATAAAACCCCTAGCCTCCCTTCCAGTCTTCACTAACCTCCAAACCATTCATAACAAAATCAAAACTGGTCAGAAAAAAGTAGAAGAAGAAAAAAAAAAGTATGCATGTCGTTATGTCATTTACTGCACTGAACCCATTGAAGGTTACGTTGGGGCGCTGACTGGCAGGCCCTGCCCTCCTGCCATTATATCTGACTCACATCTCTAACAACACTGCAAACCCCTTCTCCAGAGCTTGCTCTGTTTTCCCCTGTTCTGCTCCCCTGTTTTCCTCTGTTTTCCTAATATAATAATACAACAATGCCGCACAATCACAACAGCAATAATAATAAGCTGCGGCAGATACTGCCCTGCCATCATCCATCTCAGAGTAATAATAACAACAACAGCATTGCAGTGGCAGCAGCAGCAGCCCCACCTCTCAAGATTCCTCGTCTCTCTTCAGACTACCCTGCCACCGGTACAGCTGCTACTGATTTCAGAACCTTCTGTTCTTCTTCTATCTAGTGATTATCATTTTATTATTCTATGGATTGACTTTAAATGTTGCAGGTTTGGAGGGGATGTTGATGTGGAACATGGACCCAGCAGCTGTTGCGGCCCATGGGTCGGCGACGACTGCTGGTAATCAGAATCTGCCTTCAGTGGGGCTGGGCCTGGGCCTTACAACCGGCGGCGGTGCTGGCGACGATCGGCAGCAGCAGGGAGAAGAGGAGGCGGTGGGGAAATCAATGGTCCATGGGTTTACACTGCCGCAGCTGCAAGAGCTGCAGCTGCAATCAGTGATATACAGGTATATAGAGGCCGGAGCCAGAGTCCCTCCCAGCCTCCTTGTCCCTATCTGGAGGAGCCTCGCCGCCGTCCCTCTCCACCGCCGCCACCACCACCACCCTACCTTGCATCATCTCTTCCCCAGCTGTAAGTAATTCATGTAGTGCCTCTATCATCTTCATTGTCATTCAATTTTGTTCGAATTGTGATCTATTGAACCTACAAATTTCCGTTCCGGTGGACAAAAGTTTCATATCAAATGATGGGTATGGAGTACTACAAGAACGGGGGACAGCTGGATCCGGAGCCAGGGAGGTGCAGGAGAACTGACGGGAAGAAATGGAGGTGTAGCAAAGAGGCTTTGCCTGATCAGAAGTACTGCGACAAGCACATGCATCGCGGCCGCCACCGTTCTAGAAGCGCTAAGCAAGTGGTGCTCCGACCTCCTCCTCCTCCTGCTGCCGGCGGCGGCGGCTGTGGTTCTCGGAGCAGCGGGAGTAGTAGTAGTGCTGGGAGTTGCAATGTCGGCGGAAAAAAACAGCATCTCCAAAGGCGCACCCTCACTGCCTTTGAGTTAGTTCTACTAGCTAGGCGGCCGGGTTCTTCCTTCTTTTCTCTTCCGTTTTTTTTCTGTTTTGGGTTTGATTTTGCGGTGTCGACGGGTGCATTGCGAGCATAGCTCCAATGGAGAAAACAAAAAAAACAAAAAAAAAACTGTAGCTGTTGTTGTTGGTTTTGATGTTGTGGTATCAAACTGAGAGACTTGTGTTGGTGTTTTTCGGCTTTCTTTCCTATTTTTTTGAGAAATTTCAAATTAATCCGGTATAATTTTCTGGTACGAAAACGAAAATAATATAGGATAGTTTATCGAATCTTTTACCTAATTAATAAATTAATTATCTTCCAAAACCACATGGCTAATTCTTAAGGTAAAGGGAAATTCGGAGATTTCTGCTCCTATAAATAACAAACCTCTCAGACTCTCTAAACACATAATTCAGAGACCATAAACACAAAAGATAATGTTTTTCCTAAGAGAACCGATTTTTGCACAAACCAAGTTTCATACAGCTTGGTTGTTTTATTTCGGAGGTTTATTAACTGATAATTTAATGTGCGCAAATACAAAGTAGTCTGAGAACGCTTTAAAAAGAGCAAACTAGTCCGCTACCTAAACATATTTGATTACCCTACCTTTTTGGGGGTTGGATTTCAATGTCATTGTTGAACTGGACGTGATCATGATTCATGAGTCGCCAGCGATCAATTGAAAGATTTCAATTTTGATTTTTTATTAATTCTATGCTCTCAAATGTATTAGCCATGCGAAATCGCAGATCATAATTGAAAAGTGAACAATATCATCTCCGAATTCTCAATCCAAAAAACAAAAACATATCATCTTCTAAATGAACTGACCAAGAAGAAGGATCCATGTCCAACTAAAGTTTGAAGCTTAAGTGATGGACTTCATTGGTTGGGAGCCGTGGGATGACAGAGTAAATCTGGGCTTCCGGTTTTTTTTTTTTTCAATCGATCACTCTAAAAAGAGGATAATAATAATGCTAGATTACAAAGAACCTATCGGCTATTGAACCAAGAAACGTAGTCAAACCCTCTATGAAAGCGGGGCGACAGCAAGAGAGCCTAACGAGCTACTGAATGAACCACTCTGTTTCTAGATCGACCAACGAAATGAACTTGAGAACCATGAGAATCCTCCAAAAGAGAACAGATCTCTTGAAGAATTGATCCTGCTCTAGCATCCGAAACATCTTTTTGCCAACATTTATCAATCAGGACTTTCGCATCACTACCAATGTTAATCGAGTATAATCGGCGCCGACGACACTCCAGCAGACAATCACGAAGGGCTAACGCTTCAACGGTGAAAGGATCCCAAATCCCATGATAATGGGTGACTGATGCCAAGAGAAGCCCCCCTGCATCGTCCACCAGAACAAAAGCCGCAACTCCACCCGTCCCTGCCTTTATCTCAGCATCAAACTTTGCCGAACAATGAATTGATGAACCTGCAGGTAAATGAAAGTCATTTTATTTATCCAAGATAAGCCCTAGGGCATGGTCGGACAACAAGATACAAAATACATAAAAATAAAGAACGGTAGCCCGTATGCAACCAGACTCCCGATAAAAGAGCCTGTTATGCCACTAGTGGGCAGCTCTATGAAAGCTCCAAGGAGCGAAAAGACACGAAACTGACACGAGAAAAGGAAGAGAGAAAAAAATTCCCTGTTAATGGATACGGCTCCGGGAAGGGAAGACTTCCTCGATGGATCCATGATGATCAGTTGAAAAACCCCACAACATGTGACAATCAATACATTATGAATTATGAGTAAGATACCATCTCGTATCATCACTAAGGACAAGTAATTTTGATATATAAACATTGATAATATCATAATGGTCCAAAACTTGGATGTCATTTGGATTCATGGATCAATCCATCAATCCACTTGATTTAATCTATGAATCCACCAGTCTATTTGGTCCAATCCACGTGATTCATGAATACACCAATCCAATCCACCTATCAAATTTATTTGCCACGAACAAACAAACATTATATACGTCAAAATTACATAAAAAATGCCTAATCATTAACCGCCAAAACTTTCCCGGCCAAAGGGCCGGGCCTGTGCTAGTTCTCTTAAAAAGCCATGAGTCGATTTTGCTTGTCACAGATTTTTAGGGTTTCAAGAAGCTGACCTTGTGGCTTGTACAATGTGGATCGCACGTTGAGCCCGTGGATTTGTGAGAGACTGAGAGTCATGGCAATTTTGTTGATGTTGGACTGGGGGTTGGGCTCAACTCTGACTTCGTATTGGAAGAAGAAGCTCTGTATAGGCCCAACATGGAGAATAAGTTCAAACATGGGGCTTTGTAGTAAGATTTACAGGAGATACGTTTAATTGTTTCACTTGGAGTTGGAGAGCAACTCGTTTTGTTCTCCATAATGATCCCCCTCTATTACAGCATCATTTAATTGCTATATATTAGGGGTTGGTATCATGCTAATCAATTACATTTTTAGTAGTTTTTTTTATAGTTACATTTTTAGTAGTTAGATGTAAAACTAGTAAAAAATTCTGAATCGCTATTCGTCGCCCTAAAATTTAAATTATATCGCCCTAAAATTAGGGCTGGGAAACGGTGCGGTCTGGTCCAGACCAGACCATCTATACGGTCTATGGTCCAGACCGAGAGGCTAAAGTATAGACCACAGACCAGACCACAGACTATACGGTTCGGTCCAGACCACGCCTGTGCGGTCTGGTTCGGTCTTGTCTGGTCCACATAGACCACACTCAACGAAAAATGAATAATTTGTTTAGTCAACCACACAAAAAATTGAACCAATAACCAGAAAAAATAATTGTTATTTGCCTTAAATCATCAATCCTAACATGCATGAATAATTTTGATACTCTAAATCTTAGTACATACCAAAGATACAAAGTAAAAGCATCCCAACTTGCACCATAACGTCATAAACATTAACATAATGTCATATAGAGACACGATTATCTCTACTCTCTAGTTAAATGTGGTTATGAATTAAGGAGGGACGAGATTCACAAAACTAAGGTTGAGACTTGAGTATCGTTGTGGGAGTTGGGAGAGTGGTCGAATGGGCTGTTAACACGTATTTACAAGTCAGTTGGGTTCACGGTTTGGTCCGGTAAACCGCGGTCTAGACCAGACCAGACCAAGATATCAAAACATAAAATAGTACAGACCATGGACCAGACCAGACCATACTTTATGGTCTACGGTCCGGACCAAACTGTGCGGTACGGTTTGGACCACGGTTTTTCTAACGGTCTGGTCTATTTTCCCAGCCCTACCTAAAATACATCACATTGACACCTTTACCCTCTGATCCCAATTTCTAACCAAAACCTTAAACAAACATCCTTGCCAGCCGCCGCCGACTCCTCTATCCTCCGTCCGCTGCTGCCGGTGTCGGATTCTTCTCGACCGTCGCCGATGCTCTGCTTCTAGTGCCGGAGTCGATCCCAAGCAGCAGGAAGAAGACGAAGAAAAAGAAGGTCGCCGCCCAGGAGAGGTTGCCGACCAGTCCGAGCTCCCCGGCGACAGGTTTCCAACCTGCCGTTGTGGTATATGGAACGGGGAAAAAGCCCATCTGCAACCGATTAGGCCAAAAATCATCGATTCATCAACATTAATTCCTCTCTTCATCGCAATTTCCCAGCATTGGTGTTCCTTATTTTTTTTGAGAATTGCAGAGGGACATGGAAGGTGGCGGCGAAGCGGCGGAGGAAATTGGTAGTTGTTGATATTTTTTTTTAATTTTTTGGATATTCTTTTTTAATTGTTACATTTGGTGTAGTTGTAGGTTTTAATTCATTAAATTTTTTATACTTTATTTTGTAATTGAGTTTTAGTGTTTTGAAAGATAAAAATTAATTTAAGGATATTTGAGTCATTTTAATAAAATTTAGGGCGACGAATAAGGTATTTTAGGGCGACGAATAGCAATGCCCAAAAAATTAGGGTAAATTGCAAGTTTGGTCATTGATTTTACTAAAAATGTTCACGTTTGGTCACCAAAAATATTTAATTTCATTCATGGTCACTCGGAATAGTCTAATAGTTCAAGTTTGGTCACTCTCCGTTAGTCTCCGTTAACTTTAGCTTATGTGGCAGTCAACTCTCATAGTTGATCATTAAATATGTGACGTGGAAATTAAAAAATAATAAAAAATAAAATTTAAACTTTTTAATTTTTCACCTATTTTTCACAACTATTAAGAAATTAAAAGTAAAATGAAAACCAAAAGCTTCACGCTTCTTCCTCCAATCCTCCACCTTCCCCGCCGCGAAAACACCGCCATTCCCATTCACCTACTTGTCAATCGAACGTTACTCCCATCATTCACCTCTCCCTCCGTCGAAACCGAACTTCCATTACTAAACGATCTGTTACTCCCGTACTTGCCTGCACTACCACCAGCAGCCCCAAATCCGTCCAATTTCCTCAACAGTTCCCTCTCCTCCATCACCGCGCTGACACTCTCTTCCTTGAAAGCTCAAACTCTAGTCCGGAGCCGGAGAGACCTGTAGCGGAGCTGAACACTCCATCGAGAACAAGAATAGAGATCGCAACTGCGTCCGGAATCCTCGTAATCTCTGCCGCCAGATTTGAACTCGTGGTCTCTGTTGATGACCTTGGTGGCTGATAGCAGGGGTGGGCACACAGGTGGTTAATCCGTGGATTGATATCGATCCACCCACAAATAACCCGACCAGCAAGCAATAGGTGATTGATGTAGGTGGATTGCGGATTGATAAATGTCTCACCCGCACTTACGTGAGTGGATGGTGAGTGGATTGCGGATCACCCGAATGACTCGCATCATATTTTCACATGAAAAAACATTGTTTATTATAGTACAAAATATTCATCATATCTCCGAACCACACTACAAGTTGACTATATACTTTTAAAGGTGAAGAATAAAGAATAGTTTTAACTACTATTACTAGTTATTGTGTTGTGTAATATCCATTAGATATTGGAGATTGAGATGCAAATTATTTTTAATATCCATTAAATATTGTGATATTATCTCTTTAAAAGAACAAGTTACAAGTTTACTGTTTCATAGAGTCACGTCTTAACACTGTTTTTCTTTGACACATTTTTACTGCGTTCTCGTCTGTAATCATTGCTTTCTCTCTCTTTCCTCTCTGCTTTTAGCCTGGGTTGCTTCGCCAGCGACTTCTCTTCTCTCTGCAACTTATCGGTTTTCGGAACTCCTCACCTTTCCCCTGAGAAATGACAGGTCTGGCGCTTCCTCATCTGTTCCTTTCCCCACAAAAGTCTTCTTTTGCTTTGCTACCTTTCATTTATGCTCCTCACAGACTTTCCCTCTTCTATCTTGCTTGCTCGCTTGCTTTCTTCTATTGCTCTTCCATGGTGACCCATAAATTGCTTCTTGACCTCAGCGACTCCGATGGCCTTCAGACTCTTCTGAAGCTGCGCCTCCTTCATGCGTGGGGGTCTTATGGGCTGAAGAATCCTACATTAATCTTCAACTACTGCACTCTGTGGAATGATGAGGAGGTCAGCGCTGCTTTCTTCTTTATTTTGCCATGCAATCTTGCGCCTCCCTTCTTTTTACAGCCCTCTGATGTTCGTTTCTTTTCTGGCCAGGGTACTTTGATTCAGGGCACGGCTCCTTCGGAACTCACGCGCCATTTCTCTCCGCTTCTGCAGTTGGGTAGCGTTTATTTCGTGAGCAACTTCCGCGTCAAGCCACCGGCCCCTTCGTATCGTTCTTGCTCTCATAAGTTGACCATCGTCCTCTCTGCTGCTACACAGTTCGAAGACGTGACCCGTTCGTCACCTTCATTCTGGCCAGATGCGTTCGAATTTACCCCGTTCAGCTCGCTTCATTCCCGCATACGTTCATCGGTCTATCTGACAGGTCTTGTCCTGTATTCTTTACGTCTCTTGCTGTCCGTTCTGCACTGTACTGCTTACCACCCTTTCCTCTCTTCTCTTGCTTGTGCCTCTGTCAGATGTCGTTGGCGCTGTTGTTAGCATCACAGGCGTTTCTAGCACTGTTACTTCATTCGGTACCACTGTGCGGAGTGATTTGGTGCTTCAGAATGAAAAGTATGTTACACATGCACACCACTGCTTTATCGACTGTGCTACATTTGTTACTTACTTTCGCTGTTTTTTTGCCCAGTCACATGTTTCTTGATATCAGTCTGTGGAGTGATATAGCTCGGAATCTCAATGGTCAGGAACTGGCTGTCCTTGGTCGTTCTGGGCCAGTCATGCTTGCTGTTTGCTCACTGCGAGTCACTGGCGCTACGAAAGGTCTGCATGTACCTTACCGCTGCACTATTCTCCGTTTCATTTCCCTTCCTCCTTTCCTTATTACCTTCACCCCTTTTGTAGGAGGTTACTCTCTGACCAGTACTCCAGGCACACGTTGTGTTCTCAACCCTGTTTCTGAAATGGCTCACCTGGTCCAATCTGTGTATGTCTTTTCTTATCCTCCTCATATTTGTTTTTCCCTTCGCATCATCAGCTGTCTTTTTTGTTACTGCTAATTTGTTGCGTTCCTTGCTTTCGCTTCCGTTAGGTTCTTTGCCAGCACTAATACATGTCAATATTACCCTCCGAGGTTTGCAACTCCTACTGAGGCAGCGGCCTTCGAAGCTGAATGTACGAAGACTGTGTCACAACTGCTTGCTTTGTGTTTTCCACCTGTTGCCGATGTATGTTTTTTCCCCTTTTGCTCTCCAACTTACCTGCTTTTGTTCCTTTCACTTCATTTGTTTGTCCGTCTAATCATTTCTTCCGTTTACTTTTTTTTTAGTCTACGCGTTACCATTGCTCTGGTCGGATCGTTTCGGTTGATTCTTCTATGCAGTGGTACTACTTGGGTTGTGCGCTTTGTTCCAAAGCAGCCATAGATTATGATGGTGTTGACAAATGGTGTGATGACCACCGTCGTTTGGTGCCTCAACAAACACAGAACTTGTAATTCCTTTCTTCATTCTTGCCCCCATACCTTTTGCCTATTTCTCGTGTCCTCATACGCTCCTGTACACGTTTTTTGCAGTTACAAACTTCGGGTAACAGTTGATGACAACACTGGATCAGCAGCTTTTGTTCTGCTGGGTAGGGCCGCTGACCTTCTTGTGGGCTTGACTGCTAACGATCTCTCTACTAGGTTTCCTTACCAGCGCAATGTTCTTCCACAAGAACTTCTGGCTCTTGAAGGACGAGACTTTACTTTTGACGTCCAGCTTCCAAAACCGGAATATGGGGCTCGTGGCCCGCCAGAGTTCACGGTCCTTGCTGTCAATGAGCAAGAACAGCCAAATTCCTGCTCACCAACTCTTAGTCGCCGGTCAAGAAATGCTATGCCCCATACACCACCTCCTAACAGGTTTTTTCCGTGTTCTCCAGTTTGTGGAACAGTCCCCTTTTGTTCATTACTAATCGCTACTTTCCGTTGCAGTCCTCACTTGATGCCTCTTACGTCTCCATATGTTGTTCCAACAATTCAGACCGCTTCGGTAGACCATGGTTCTTCTATTGCTTCACCAAGGTAATGCTTCAATTTTACATGTCCTCTTTTCGCTGGTTGTTGATTGTCTTGAACTCGGGTTCCTTCTTAAATTTGCAGTGGGAGTTCTCAGCTTGCATTTTCTACTCCTCCACGTCGCCCCTACAACAGGTCTTTTGTACAGCCCACTTTGCTTTACAAAATTAACAAGCTCTTCTTTGGACGCTGTCGAACTCTTTCCCTATGTGTTGACATTTCTTCTCCATGCGTTGTTTACCGTCAAGTTCCAGTAGGCGCATCGCTGCTGTATCCTCACCCTCATCTGCTGCATTGGGAAGGTTGTCTGTTTGTTGTCTGCTTTGCTAGCTCAGTGCTGCTTATACACGTTCTGATGTCGTTTTCTGACATGTTTCTTTACAACAACAGTGTCGTAGCTCCTTCTCCTGAACTTGGTCGTACTGAGATTGTTTCCTATGCGCGGTCAGTTTCTTGCCTTTTCCTGTATTACCTCAAGCGTTCGACTTAACGCCTGCTTATATTTGTCAATGACTCTTGCACACCCGTTTTAACTGCTTCTTAGCCCTAGAAGTGAGGAAGTGCCCCCAGAAACTGCAACACAGCGATCCCCACAGTACCTTCCCTCCTGTTAACTTACTTACTAGCTTTACGTGTCTCTTTCTTTCCTTCCTGAGCATCTCTGTATCAGGGAACTTGCTTCGGACACTACAGATGCTACTGTGCAGAACAAGACCATTAGTTCGCAGAAAGCGAAGCCGAAGAAACCATCTGCTAAGAAGAAGTCTCTCTGCCCTTTATTACTTACTATGTTTCTTGTACCAAATTTACCATATCCTACATTAGGTCTTAGTTTCCTGTTTACCTTGCTTCTGTTTGCATATTGCCAATTGACTTTGGTTTTTTTTGCACCCTTCGTTTCAAATGTGCCCGCCATTGTTATTTCGTTTGGTTGGTTGTTAACTGTGCATACGCCACTATTGTCTCTTGGAATTCTTTTACTTATCATAGTATCCTGCATTGTACTTCGGTTTACTGTCCTTACCTTATACAGCTTTGTTGGACTTTTGCAGGAAAACTGGAAGTCCAAGTGTTGCGCGTCGTCCTGCAGTTACTCTTGCAAAAACCGATGTTCCAATATCGTCCCTTGAGATCCCTACTGGACATCCTTTGCCAACCGAATCGGCGAATCCTGACTCTGGAAATCTTAATGGCCTCGGTGTCAATTTGCAGACAACAACACTTCAGCCTTTGTCACAGTATGTGTCGTTCTAATTATTCGCTTGCCAGTGTTGTCTGCTCCCTAGAATTCCAGTTTGCATGCTTTTGGTGCTCTTTTAAACCTGATAACAAAAGGGCTCCAGTCTGCACAGAATACTTATTTTGACGCAAAAAGAACTGCAACCAATGCTTTTCAATTACATTTGGTCTTCTGCTTTTATACATGGTTTTAAGTTGTCACCATAAAATACAATCGCCGATGGATGGCCTTTTGTATCCCTTTCTTCGCCTTTCGCTAACTTACACGTGTTCTCAATGTGCAGACATACAATGTTACCTTTCAGTGGCCATACTAATTATCTACGAATGTTCTCCCTTTTTTGTTTATACAGACCAAAATAAACAAATAGTTGTGGCTTCTGCTTACTTGGTCAGCTTCAAATCAATTGTTTTCCCACAGTTGAAGTAATAATCGTCTTTACTGTAGGGAGATTCCTTGTGCAGTGGGTTCTTTGTTGTTAGTCATTATCTTATTCGTGCTTTGCAAGTTGCTCCCGCATTGCATAGGAATGTGCATGTTCTTCCATATAGATGTGTTTTTACAGACCTACTTCCTTTGTCTCCTTTTCTAGGCAATCTGTGTCTATACATCCTGCACCTGTACGTCGCCGTCGCTTGGTTGTTTCTTCTGATGAAGACGAACCTGTTGTCCCTTTGGAATTGCAAGACTTGGACGTTGAACTTCCACTGCAAGAACAGGCTATTGAAAACTCTTCGACTTGTCCTGTTCCTACCGTTGACTCTGCTTTGCCTTCTCCTCTTCTTGCTGGCCAAGAAGTTCCGCTACTTCCAGTGGGGAAAACTAATCCTGGGAGGGCAAAGCGAATTAGGACACCGTCTGCAAAGGCCATTGAAGCATCTGTGGATGCCTCTAAGAGGAAGCCAAAAACTCCAAAGTCGTCTGCTAAGGAACCTGCTAAGAAGCAACTGTTTGCTGATTGACCATGCTTCGCATCATGCGAGTGCTAATGTAACATGTTTGTGCAGTGCTGTCCCTCCCTTTCTTTTGTGTCACTTTTAAAGGGAAACACTCTTTAGTGAGTAGTGCACTATGTACTTTTGCCTTTTGTATCTACATTTGCAGCCCTTGCCAAACTTGTGGTGTTCCATTACTGGCACCACTTTTACCAATCTGGTCTGCTGTGACATTTTACTTGTATTAGTTACCTCTTTGTCCAGATTACCCCTTGCGTACCTGCTTTCTAACCAGCTCTATGTCGTTACCGTAAAGCAACATTTTGCCATGCCCTTCTTTAAGTGGCATAGTATCGCGCCACTCTGCAACTGATCTTTAGTTTGTGCTAAGGAACTGGTTTACTTTGTATCATCATTTGTTGGGCGGAATTTTGCCGTTTAACCCGCATTCGCATCGCACCTGTATCTACTTCGTTAGCCAGTTGTTTTGCTCTTTATTCGCAGGTGGCCATTGTCTGTTGTAAATGGCCACTTTGAGGACCACATTGTGCACACCCTTTCCGCTTGCAGGGTATTTAGATGGTGTCTACCAGCCACACAGAAACTAGATATTTAGATTGTCCACTAATACTATGACTTTGTTTACTAGCTTCCATAGACCCAAATTATAAACTTATTCCTCTTCTATTAATTGCCATCATGCATTTATTGTTCTGACTACTCTGTTCACTAATGATGGCTTTATTACTTCTCACTTCTCTAGACTAGCCTGCTATGGTGCATGTTGTATTATTATACTTTTTCTTGAGAAGGATCTTTCCCCCTGGAAACACCGTTTACCTGTAGACTGCCTTCTTCCATAACTGCTTTCCCATTACTGCTTCTTTTTGCTCATTCTGTCTTTGCTGTTGGCCATTGAATTAAATTCTCTGCTACATCTGCTATACTATTACCTGGTATCTGCCTTCCTCTGCAAATCTGCCAGTGTTTGTATTCCACTGTACCCGTTCAGAATGCGTGGCATGGTTAGTTTGGCCAAATTATTACTTTTATCTTACTACATTTACCATTGTGTTCCTATATCATGCTACGCTTGTGCTATACTTTCCAGGTCCTGTTTTTTTCCTAACGTCAGTGTGTGATCTTAGGCCACTCCTAGACAGGCTGAACTCCTACTACCCGGTCGTTCAGCGAATAGGAAGCGTCGTCATATTGGTCTTTCCACTGAATTTGTACCTACCACACCTCCTTCGAGAAGTTCTCTGAGGCGTCGTGTGTGCAACTTTGATAGACGGGGACGCTTGCACCCACTGCTTGACTCAGAAGGTGAACTTGACGCATCCGAACTTGACTTAAGAACTCCTGAAGACTTAACAGCCAGCTCGCAAACTCATCCTCCTGTTGCGTTGGATGGTCATTGTTCATTGGCTGATGTACCTCTACCACCTTCACAACAAGCAAGATTCAGTCGGATTATCGATCATGGTTTCCCTGACTGTGAATGCCAGTACTGTGGTGCACGGTTCTGGTATGAAGAGCGGCTGAACAGGCATGCATCTCTTGCTCCTGTTTTCACGCTTTGTTGTCAAAAGGGTCGAGTACGCCTCCCATTCCTACAGGAAACTCCTCAGTACCTTGAAGACCTCTTGGGTGTTAATGGCGGTCCTATGGCAGCGCACTTCAGGGAACATATACGCTCCTATAATGCTGCGTTCTCTTTCACATCTTTTGGAGCACGCCTTGATCCGAGAGTTACACGATCACGAGGACCTTATTCATTTGTGATCTGCGGAGAAAATTATCATCGAATGGGATCTCTGCTTCCTGCTGCAGGTCAGAGACCTAAATATTCTCAGCTATACGTCTTTGACCCGCAGACCGAATTAGCAGATCGACTCTCCAATTTCTCTTCTGCTGAGCGGTCCCTGCGTCCTGATATTGTTTCTGGTTTAATGAAGCTGTTTGACGTGACAAATGAATTAGTTAAGTCTTTTAGACGAATTCGATCTGAATTGAATGATCCAGCATCAATCAATTTAAGACTGCGTATTGTTGGTGCAAGGGACACAACATCTCGACAATATGAACTTCCAACTGGTTCAGAATTGGCTGGACTCATTCCTGGTGATTTCTTGCCTGATAAGGAAGAACGAGACATCATTATCGATCATCGGTCAGAGGGCTTGAAGAGGATCACAAGTGTACACCCGAAGTTTGATGCTTTGCATTTTCCGGTTCTTTTCCCATACGGAGAAGATGGATTCCATGTAACCATACCGTATGACCCTGTTCATACTCCCAAAACATTGAAAAGGAAACATGTGACTCAGAGAGAGTACTATGCTTACCGGCTTCAGCACAGAGACGACGAAGGTCAGACATTGATGCGAGGTGGGAAGGCACTTCAACATTACGTGGTTGATGCATATTCCACAATTGAACAAAACCGACTCTATTATTTACGATCGCATCAAGAAAACCTCCGTTCTGAACTATACTATGGCCTTACAGATGCTTTCAACAGAGGTGATGTTACAGGAGATGCTGTTGGCCATGTTGTTCTGCCATCATCGCATACTGGAAGTCCTAGGTACATGAAGCAACTGTACTTAGATGCAATGGCTGTTGTCCACCATCATGGCAGCCCCGACCTATTCATAACCTTTACGTGCAACTCCCAGTGGCCAGAAATAACAGAGTCTTTTCGCGCTGTCTGTGGTGCACGCAGCGAACTCAAACCAGAGATTGTTGCTAGGGTCTTTCGCATGAAACTGAATGCACTGGAAGATGAATTAACACGAGGCCATTTCTTTGGTCAAACAGTGGCAGGTCTGTTCGGTTGCCTTATGTCTTACTTCCTTTTACAATTGCCTGTTATCAATTCTCCTATTCCTGTCACTCTAAACTTCCTCAGTTACCTCACGTTTTGTGCTCTAACATAAATGACACATTCCATTGCCTTATAATTCCAGGTATCAAAACCGTCGAATTCCAGAAAAGGGGTTTGCCCCATGTTCATATACTGTTATGGTTGGATGCAAAGAATAAGCTACGACAAGCTTCTGATATTGATGCAACTGTTAGTGCTGAACTGCCAGATCCATTACTAGATCCAATTGGGTATGATGCTGTGACAAAGTTCATGCTGCATGGTCCGTGTGGTCAAGATAATCCGACCAATGTTTGCATGAAAGAAGGATCGTGTTCAAAGTATTTTCCAAAACCGTTTAATTCAGAAACTACAACGGACCAGTTTGGCTATACAGTCTATCGCCGTCGCGATACAGGTATAACAGCAGTGAAAGGTACATCTATACTAGACAATCGGTTTATCGTTCCATATAATCGGAATTTACTTGTGCTGTTTCAAGCTCATATCAATGTCGAGGTCTGTCATCAAGGCCGGTTGATTAAATATTTGTTTAAGTACATTACAAAAGGGCCTGATAGATCCATGGTTCTTGCTGAAACTCCTGGGTTGTCTGTATCTGATTCTGCTACCCCAAACCATATCCCTCCATTGGACGAAATTAAACAGTTTCTTGATTGTAGAAGTCTGTCTTCATATGAGGCAGCGTGGCGGATCTTTGAATTTCCTGTTCATGAACGAACGCCGCCGGTTCAGCGCTTGTGCGTTCATCTTGAAGGGAGACATTATGTTCCTTATAGGAAGAAACAACGGCTGTCTCGAATACTTGCCCGCGATTCTGTTTCAGAAACAACATTGACACAGTGGTTTAACCTTAACCAACGAGATCCAACTGCAAGGGACCTACTTTATGCCGAGACTCCGAATCGTTATATATGGAATGTGAAAACAAAAAAATGGGCTCCGCGGAAAAGAGGGTTCTCAATTGGAAGAATTGTCTATATCCATCCAGGTTGTGGTGATACATTTTATCTCAGGCAACTTCTTACCAAAGTTCGTGGGTCAGTTAGTTATGCAGCTCTTCGGACAGTCCATGGCTTCCCATGTAGAACATATCAAGATGCGTGCCAGCGCCTTGGTCTTTTGTCTAATGATGATGAATGGTTACTTGTGATTAAAGAAGTCAGCCAATGGGGCATGTGCCGCTTGTTACGATACCTCTTTGTGTCCATGCTGATGTTCTGTGAACTATCAAACCCACTGCAGCTTTTCAATCAGACATGGGAATTGCTTTGCGAAGACATCACATATAGGTGCCAACGAGACGTTTGCTTCAACAACAACCTCATACCACCTGAATTGCCCAAAAATAAATTGTTGTGGGAATTGCAGCACATGTTAAATGCTTATTCAGCCACGTTATCTCATTTTAACCTTCCCTTGCCAACAGATGATCACCCACAAACTGATCCCTTGCTTCAGTTTGGAACTGATTCACATCCTGGTACTTTAGCTGCTGTGGATTCCCCACCTCCTGTGGTTGGTGATCTTAACAGAAAGCAACTTGAAGCTTTTCATTGTGTAATGGAATCTGTTATGTCTCCAACAGAAGACTCGCCTACATTCTACTTTCTGTATGGTCATGGAGGAACAGGCAAGACTTTCCTCTACAGAACTATTCTTGCGCAACTTAAAGAAGCTGGAAAAATAGTTTTGGTTGTTGCTTCTTCAGGAATTGCAGCAACATTACTTCCTGATGCAAGTACAGCTCACTCTCGGTTTAAAATACCACTGGAAATCGACCATGGTTCTTCATGTAATATCAAGAAAGGTACGCCATTGGCTCAATTGATCATTAATGCATCGCTTATAATATGGGATGAAGCCCCAATGGTTCACAGATTGTCTTTTGAGGCAGTAAACAGAGCTTTTTGTGATATTATGGATGTTCCGTTTGGTGGTCCACACTATAAACCGTTTGGTGGCAAAGTTGTTCTTCTTGGAGGCGATTTTCGTCAAACGCTTCCAATAGTAGCTGATGCTGGCAGAGAAGAGAGTATTGATTCATCTCTAACCTGTTCCTTTTTGTGGCAACATTGCACTGTGTTGCACTTAACTGAAAATATGCGTGTGGTTGCTTCCCGGGAGAGTCAAAGGTCAACTTTTGGTGGCATGCCCTTTACCGAATGGACTCTTGCTGTGGGAAATGGAAATGTGCCAGGGAAATCATTTCCTCCTAACCAATCTACTGATTGGATAGAGATTCCGGAGTCATTACTGCTTCCTTCTTCAGGAAATCCCATCCATACAATTACGTCTACAGTCTATCCTGACTTTGCTCAACGGTTCCATAATGTATCGTA